GATAATACGTTAGTCAGAATCTTTTTTAAAAAAGTTGTGTAACTTACATAATAGAGCATGCATTCTTTCTTGCTCATTTATTGCAGTCTGCTTTTCAAACTGATAGCAGGGTCAGTTCTTAACTGCAGAAAGATGAGTTGGCTGTGAAATGAGTATCCAGCAATCATCTCTCCATTATGTCAGCCAGAATACATCACAGAACTAAGTCACACCATTCAAGAAATGTTTGTTGATGAGATTTTACAGAAAGCCTCACTTTGTCCACCCTGGCCCAGCACGTCAATCATGCCCATCTTGCATTCATTACAACCCTATTTTTCTCCAAGTGTAACTTTCCCTCTTGTGACTTAAAGATATTTTTAGCTCCTTAACAAAGTCTGTTTTATCAGTCTCTTGCATGTTGAACAGGATGTTGGGCTTTGGGGAGGGAGATGAAGAAGGAGTGAGGTTTCTTTCTCCTTCTATAAAGCATCAGCCACGTGTTGGTCCTATGGATAGAGTGGAGAATCAGTGTCTCACACAGGACCTGGCCTAGTCATCCCCCTCAAGGACAACTAGGAAAGCATCCCTTGGAGCCTGTTCATGTCTCCCTCTGTTGTTCAGCAGTGACAGGTCTAAGTCTATCCAGAGTTCTTTATCTTACATAGAACACATTCGGCTGTCTTTACTTGTGTTGCTGTAGCAAGTAAGTCTCCGAATTTTAGAGTTTGGTGACTTGGCACCTTATACATTTATTGTTCCTTCATACTGAGTAGTGGAGTGTGGTTCTTAGTAAGTGGGTCCTGCTAGAACCACACAGTCGTTTAAGGACCAAGTCTGAGGAAAGCTCAACCATCTTCCAAGGTCACCTTGGGATGTCAGCAACCAGATTGGAGTTATCAAAAGAGCATGAAAGATTGTTTGCATATAAGAGGTTTTCATGGACAAAAATCTGAGAATCACAGCTATCACCTCTCTCTTCCATGGTCTGGAACTCAGGCATATGGCTACCTCCAGCTGCAGTGGGGAATTGGTAAATCAAATACTGGGTTGCAAAAAATGCCTGCTACACTGAGTTTCAGGATGGTGATAAATTTCCCACTTGTATCACAATGTTTGTTGTAGGTGGCCCTGTTTTTCTCCACCAGTATAGATGGAATGAATTGTTTTCCTATAGGAATTGATTTTGTTTTAAAAATCATTTGGGAATTGAATCATTTTATTTTCTTTTTCCATTACAATGAACATATTGGAGAAATAGGAAAGCCAGGTATTTGAAGGCTTTCCTTGTAACTTGTTATAAATGCTTTCCATTAGGAGACTACACCCTTCTTTTTCCCACCTGGCAGACTGTTTTTGTGGAACACCTCCTGTGTGAATCCCCAGGGCTCCTTCCTCCTCCCCTTGCTTCCCCAGGAACACTTAGGATTCACCACCTCTGTGTTGTGCTAGAACTTGTGCACATCTATGCTGATTTTATCTGTTCATCCACTCACTTTTCCTAGCACTTAACAATGCAAGAGGAGAAGGGAAGCGAAGATGAGATTGTAATTCACAGTGACAAAATCACATATGAGCAGTGCATGGACCTGAAGAAAGATACCTCAATCTGAGGATGAGGGAGAGCTGGGTGTGCCTCTTTTACTGGGAGGAAATTTGATCCACATCTCCTGAATTACTTCCAGATACTTTTCCTCCCTCAGAGGAGGTTTATGAGGAAAAGAACCCCATTTTGAATGTCTTTAACTCTTATACTCTGTCCAATGCCAGGCTTGTACTGGATACTCAGTAACCCGAATTGACAGAAGCTTTTAGGTCCCCAAATTTGTATGCTTTGTTTACTATGTTTCCTCCACTTGTTCTCCATACTTGCCTCACAACAACTCTATGGTGGGCCGGATACTCTTATTCCTGGTTTATAGGTAACCCAAAAGCAGTGAAATTTGGTGCTTTGCTATTATTATACATTGGGTTAATTGAACACATCTCAGCTGTTATGTACACAATTTTGTGTTCTGGAAACAGATATTTAAATATCAAAGTAGTGAGTTGAAAAACGTGGCGCTTACTTTGAGGCTAGTAAGGACTGAGTCCTTTTGAGTGATGAAGGCTTTTTCTTTACACTAAGACAAGTGAAAATGATCCTTTTTACAGAATCAAAAAGGTGGCTCTTCTCCTCGGTTTAGAATTCTTTGTATTCCCACCAGCACAGTACCCAGGAGGTGCTCTATAAATATTTCTTAAGTAGTTGACAATGTGTACCTCAGATTTATCTGAATTGGACAAACTTCCTGTTAGAGACTGTCATAAACTTTCCCCTATAATCATCATGTCACAGGGAACAAAATTAGTCTGTGCTGTTTTCTAATTCAAGGAGTGTTTTAGCACATGAGCATGGCTCCTGGCTTGCTTTGGTTTCTTCACGTGCTTCTAGAACATGCACCTGTAGAGTCTGCCCAACTGCCCTATCTGTGGAAGCTGAGAACAGATGTTCTAGAAACCAAAACAGGTTTGAGACAATTTACACTCTTGTTTTCATGTCTTTGACATCCTAAAAATCTACAACTCCCTCAGTATCAGAGTTCACGATGGGTACTAATTTTTTCCATCTCTGACTTAGCCATATTTCACACCACAAGGGAATCAGTCTTCTCTACAGAAGTGCTGGGGTGACTTATTAAAACTGCAGCTAACTAAGGGTGAAGGAAGGCACAGCTCATGCAGGTATGGAATTGTGCATTTCCACATAGATATAATGCTTCACTTCAGACGCGTGTCTGAAGACAGACTTGTTTCGCATCTTCTGCTCCTGCCGGTCGCCCCTTCTGCACCCTAGCACCCTTCTGTCACCTGTAGCTACCCATCTCATGCAGTGGGAGGCTCTAGAACATGGAAACATCCTGACTGTTGCCTCCTTTCTTTCACTTGGCATCTAGTTCATGTGCACGGCACATTGCATTGACCCCTAAATTATACCTGAAATCTGGGGATTTGAGACTGTGTTTTAAAGCCAGGTCTGAGGGCATTTCTGATTTTTCATATAATTATGAAAGTATGGGAAAGGAGCTATGAACCTGTAAGAGTTTACTGTTAAACCAGTAAGAGGGTTTGGGCTAAAATCACTAAGAGGTAAGTTGAAAGAAGAAAAAAATTATTTTTTCAAAAGTGTGGGTATATATATTCTCTTTTGCCAGGTAATGCAGTTATTGTTAAAAACAAATTAAGGAATTTCTGGCAAATATCCTCAGTAAATCTAAATGCCACGTGGTTGTTCTCTGGCACTATGATGATACTATACAGAAATAAATTTCACTAAGGCACAGAAATTTGAACAGGGAAAATAAACTTAAAATTGATTTTTGTAAACTAGCTTCCACAAATTGTAAATACCTAAGCATTTTAAATGTATTCCATCAAAACTTCTTAGAGAATATCAGTTATTTTATTGTATCCCTAAGTCTTCAAAGCTTTGTAGAGATAATTTCATATGTGTGTTGTCGTGAGTGTAGCATGAGCAAATGATTAACTAGGTTACAATGAGGAGCATATTGTGATGACTATAGCGATGGCATCCTTTTCCTCAAAAACACGCATGGTGTACAAGGTCTTGGTGTCTTCATGTTATTGCATTTTAAATCATGCTGCTACCAGTACATTTATCAAGTTTGAAGTCTATCTTCTGTGAATACAAATGCCACAAGAACAATGACTCTTGTTATTTGAAACTGGGGTTTTTTGTTCCAGTAGGGTAAGTGGATACAGAAGTATCGTCTTCTTATCTTGATTTGAGCCTCCTTACATTGACAGTATAAGCAAAAACAATTGTGTAATGTAGAGTCTCAATTTTTTAAAATTAAGCAAAAGACATAACACCACCATATTTTGGGACCCCTCGTCCTAGCTCCTGCCCATACCATCTTTTCTTTTTCTTTCCTGTATTTGAGTAAGAATTCATCTCATCATCTCTGGAAACACTTGCTTTTTCTAAAATCCTGTAACCAGGAGACAGACTAGACACTAGGAGTTAGTCAGCGTGTATGACAGGCACATCGAAGGTGGCTGGAATGCAGTTAATGAATGAGGAGATGGACAGGTGAACAGAAATAGTGGTGATGCGAAAGGATCCTGAACTTTGCTGCTGTTTTTGCTTAACAGGGATATAGTTTTCATTTTGTTTTAGTTTGTTTTTCTAAGAGCAAGCTAAATGCCAAGTTTTAGAAAGGCATACCCACCTTTCATATTAATCATTACTAGGGAAACACCATTAGTTTCTCAGCCCACTACCTAATGGCATTTTAATCTGCAGGAAATCCAAGAGAGTGCTTTAGAAAGTTTCTGTAATTGTAGACTCAGTGATGCCCATTACGCTTTTAGAGAGTTAAGAAATGGGCCTCCCTGGTGTCTCAAGGAGCTAATAAGTCTCAGTGCTATCAAGTTATCACCAGTCACTGTGGCCTGTGTTAGACCCCAGCCAGGAAAGGGACCAACATTGTGCAGCATACTGCTCCTGTTTCACCCGCTGTTCCCCCTTGCAGTGTATTTCAGTGTTTTGTTCCCCACTCTGTCTCTGGTGAATCTTCTCACTGCCCCCCCCACCTCTGGCCTACACCTTAGCTCTTGTATGCATAAATAAATAAAAATAAATCTTTAAAAAAAAGTTAAGAAATGGATGTCAAGGGTATGTAGATTTTAATCCTGTATTGCTGAAATAATAATAATCATGTGTCAGAATTCTGAAAAGGTTAAGCTTTTTTTTATTCTTCTCATTGTGTTGTTAATACATCATCAACAAAATAATGTTAGCCACGCTTCGTGAGAGTGACATTGTCGTATGTAACCTGAACTTACTCCTCAACCACAGAATAATAGAATTAACGGAATGCTAAGGATGTAAAACTTCAGTATTAAGCGTCTATGAATTTTTCTTATTAACTTTCAATGTCCCGTTCTTGTAAGCTGATTTTGTTCTGCCTAAATGAAAGACAAAGAATCCTTTCATGTATTCTGTCTCTCTTTTGCAGGGGAAGATGGTGAAAGGAATGGGAGGTGCTATGGACCTGGTGTCCAGTTCTAAAACTAAGGTGGTGGTCACCATGGAGCATTCTGCAAAGGTAGGTGCTGCTTTTGGAAATCCAGTGTGCCAGGTCACACAGCAGCAGTTTTCATGGCTTTCCCGCCTCATTTGAGTTGATAGCACTTATATTTTAGAGAGAAATAAAGGTAGTTACTTACCATCATTCAGCTAAGTGGTTGTTTAGCTGTGAGTACAGCAACGTCAGGGAGTTTTTTGATTATACCCATAAAAGTAAAAGTCACAATGTCTTCAAGACCAGTGAAAAGTTGTCTGGGCAGATGTGTTGATTCAGGCTTAAAGATAATTATAGTGATTGCTATCTGTGTGCAAAATAAAAACACAACTGAATATGGGTTTTTAACAAGAGTTATTTTCAAAAGGCAATGTGATCTCTTACCAAGGCATGGTGTGGCATTTATAGAAGATGATAGAAAATAGTGGATTTGATGTGGTAGTAAGCGCTCTCACTGAAAAGTATTATACTTCTGTTTTTATAAATCATCAAGTATCTATTGAGTGATTATTTTATGGTAGGCATTGCTAGGCTTTGGCAGTCACCAAAACTAGACAAAAAAAATCACTGACCTCATTTGGTGGTGGTGATGATGATAAAAATATCCTATAATATGGGCTCTCCCTGGTGGCACAGCAGGTTAAAGCACCCGTTATGAAGCTCTGTGAGGCCACTGCAGCATGGGTTCAATCCCCCGCCAGGCAGCTGACCCACCTGGCGCAGCAGACCTCTTAGCAGACCTCTCCTGCTTCCCTCAGCAGTGTATTTCAGTATATTTGCCTGTTCTGCTCACCCACCACACCTCTGGTCTGTACCCCAGTTCTGTAAGCATAAGTAAATAAATCTTTAAAAAAATTATCCTGTAATAATGATAGTTACCATTTATGGAGCTTATTATGTGCCAACAGTATTTTCTGCATGTGTTTGTGTGTATAAGTTTATGGATTTAATATAGGTATTTGTTAAATAGTTCTGGAAATAGCTTCAGAGAGGTTAAGTGACTTGCCTGATGTTCACACAGCTACTGGAACTAAGATTATAACTGTACTCTGAAGCCTGGTCTAACTAAGGAAGCATCAGTATAATTTTCTTCTTTGTTCAGTCTCTGAACTAGCTGAGTTAATTGCCTTCCTGACCTCAAATCATGGACTTATGATTTGCCAAGTGGATATTGAATGGTACCCTCTTTATTTTTTAATGCCCTTTATTCGTTCTCCTTTTTCTTCTTAATTCTTAGTTTTAAACCACAGTCTACCTGTTCTCACCTTTAGACCTGCTGATTTGCTTGGAAGTGCTAATTCTCTTGCTGGGTGTTTCAGAGCTGTAGCACTATAGGAGAATGTGGTACTCTGGCACATTTGCATCTGACTTGCTTCCCATGGGAAAGCTCTGTCACCAAGTAAAGTGAGCCATGAGCGGTTTTGTAGTGAAAACTGTAATAAATGCGAAATTATCATAACTTGTTTAGTAAACAGTGGAAAGTGAGCAGTGGTGCCTGAATAGGGAACAACAGAAATTAAGTCAACGCAGGTGACTCTTGAGAGAGGCCTTGCAAAAGAGCATCCAGAGTACTTTGTTAAAGATGCGAAAGGATGCCAATTTGCAAATGGAGTCCAGATCTTTTCCAGAACATAATGTCTACTTGGAGATAAGCCTTTTTGACTGTCCTTTTGTTGTTACTTTAGGTTGATGCATAGGCATTGATGTCTGACTCGTTTCAGATTTTGTACATCCATTTTCAAAATAGTAGGCCTGTTTGGTAGTTTCTGTCTCACCCAGCCCTACTCCAACCAAGTTTTTTCTTTCTCCTAGTTGGAATTTTCAATAGAAGAAAGCAAATTGTCCTTGAAACTTTGATTTAGAAATTCCATATTAAGTAAGACTTTCAAAGAAGCAAGGCAGTATTTTGACCATTTCTTCCTGATTTTTCCAGGGTGGGGTGGGTGGAACTATTGCCATAGAATTTTAGACAGAATTGAAGCTAGGTATTCATATTTTTCTTTTTTATTAATTTTTTTTCTTATATCATTGTGGTCTCCATAGTTCTCCCACCATCTTGTCACCTCCCATTTGCCATCCATCCTTCCCTTTACTATATGAGAAACTAGGTACTTTTCCCGAGATGCTTTCACATGGAAAAAAAAAAAAAACTGCAAATGTACTTGTCACTAAAATAATTGTAATGATTTGTTCACTCTCAGTACTTTGATAACCTTGAAGACTAGCCAACAGAGTTCGCTCATCTAGCCACCTTCAGTCCTCGTGTAGGACTGTGTCTTTAGATTGGACCACTGGTATTGGCCCAGCTCAGGGGAACATGGAGACCTTATTTCTTCCCTGGGTGTTTTGCTCTAGCTAAAGGTTGGTAGATAGGCCTCCTTGGTGGCATAAGGAGTTAAGTCTTAGCGCTGTGAAGCTGTCCATAGCCACTGCAGCACGAGTTCGATCCCTAGACAGGGAGGTGACCCACACAGTGCAGCAGACTTTTGTCTTGACTGCTGCTCCCCTCAGTAGTGTGTTTCATTTAATTTA